ATAGGAATGGATCATCAGAATTTATAACGCGAGAGTGAACATTTTGATATTTTGAGGTTTCAAGGTGTCTTACCAATTATACAACGAATTCAACTAATGAAAAACCTATCAATTGTTCATCAAAACTATCTTAGCGACTGACAACAATTAAGGCACTTCTAGTGGTTAGATTTAAAAAATACAAAGTTTTTTGATTTGATAAAGAAGTTATATACAGAAGTTGATAAATTAGTAGCACTGGTTGGAGCATAATATATAATATTATTTAATAGTTTTAATATAGTTTTTAATATATTTAATATAAAAATTAAAACATTTTATTATCTTCGAGAGTTTATTAAAATTGAAAAGTACCTCAGAGTTGCAAAATAATCTTGTTTATGCATTCAAACATCTCCACTTTTTTCTAATCAGACTTTTGGAAGTACTTAAATTTTTTCAGACGGACGACTATTTTAGGTCCATAAATCGGTTTTGAATATTTTTATTTAATAACTAATACGTCATAACGTGTGCATGTGGGTGATTTTTGGGGACACACGATCGTGTGATCGATACATTTTTTAATGTACACACACAAAAAAGAGCTGTAACCACAAGAAATGAAAGAATTGCACAAACAAAACTCCTTAAAAATGACACGTTTGCAGAAGCCTTAAGTAATTATTTTTATAAAACGTATAAAAAGTGCCTTCAAACCATAAAAACATAAAAAAAATGAAGAATAGAAGTTTCATTTCGAATCACGAATTTTGTGCTTGGAAAGAAATGTTTCAGTGTACCTATTCATGAAAAAAAAAAATTGCATATAAATCCACTTTCATTAATAAGAAAAAATACTTTTACAGTACGTACGTGTTCAAGTGATTGCCTATGTTAAATTCCTTAAAAATGGTCTGTATCAAATTCCCGGTAGCCGAGAGTAGTATACAGATATAAAAAGTTTGAGAACCGCTTTACTATTCACATTGAAAACCATCATTCTACGTATACAGGATGTAGTACAATAATTAATGATTTTTGTATCTGAATTATTTTTAGGTACCTACTAGTGTTGCAGCCAAGCATATCGATATTTCGATTCGATGTCGACGTCAAAAATGAATAAGTATATTAGAATTTATATTTTGACAGAAAATAAATTGAATGATTTAATCAGATATCTTAAATTATATTAAATGATAAATTTTAATTTTAAAGTAACCAAATTTTATTTTATATCATTTATATTAATTTTATTTCTAGGTATTTTCAATTATTAAAATGTTTATTTTTATTGTGTAAGTATAACTGTATAATATAAAATAATTAATTTACAAAAACTTGTATTATGAGTTTAAAAAATCATCTACAAATAGCGTATTTTCAATACAATTTATATTGTATATCAATATCAGTAATTGATATCTTGAAATAATGATATTTAAATTGCATGAAACGATGTCAATATTAAAAACAAAACTTACTGCATCATTATTAGGTGCTTTTAATTATGTCGTAAAAATATTTTTTCGTGCTTTGAATTAATGGTACCTAGTGTTATAAAGAATCGTGTAACTTTTATTGGTATCAAATGATTTTGATTTAAACTTGTGTATTGAGTATTTAAAAGTATTTAAAATGTATTGATTTGTATTTTAATTGTTATATTCTAGAAATTTCTCTATTTAAAAAAATATATATTTGCAATAAATTGCGATTATGAAATTATTATCTACAGCATAAGTGAACAAATATCTTTTTTTGGGATAACTTCAGTTATGTCGGTGATTATTAATTCTTAAAAGCTGTCATAAAAACCTTGAATTATTGATCCGATACTAAAAAAAAATGTTTGGGCTTGGCCGGGATTTGAACCCGGGACCTCTCGCACCCTAAGCGTAAAATCATACCCCTAGACCACCAAGCCACATGTTCATATCGACTAAATAATGCATTCTTCAAGTAATCACCAGACAATAGGTACAAAGTCACTAAGTTATAAAAAAAAAAACGGAAAAGTGGCTGTCACCCTGCTGTACACTAGGTGTCTAGGAGTTCGATGTAATATGCTCAACTTTTTTTTAAATTTTCATTAACAACAACTTACAAGGAATATTGTATTACATTTTCAAGTTTTTTGACAGAGCGAAAATTTTTTTATCGACTTGAGCTTAAAAAAAATAAATAATAATCGAAAATTTAAAATGAATATTGATAGTTCAACACAAACCAAAATATTTTGAAAATGTTATGATGTATAGAAAATGCTTACACAAATATTCAGTGAAAATTTCAGTTATCTACGGTCATTTTTGTTAGAGTTAAGGTAAAAACCAAAATCGATTTTTTCGAAAAATGATTTTGCGTAAAAATTCCAGTTTTCCTTAATTTTTTGTTTGTTTTTCCTGTTGGTTTTGAAAACTATTGGAAATTTTAAATTTCGCATCCCGAATGCACCAACTAGATTCATTTTCCTACCAGAAAAGTCGCTATTGAAGAAAATCGAAGCACTTTACTCCAAGAAACCGCGATGACAGACACCAATAAATAAGCAAATAAATAAATATAAAAACACACATCATTGTAAAATCAATACATTTATTGCTCCGCTCAGAATCTAAAATCACTTATAAGTTAGTAATTATAATATAAGTTATACCGAAACTATTATAGGTATAATACAATACAGTAGTAAAAAATGAACTACATTTAGGAAAAATTAATCTTGGTTAGTATGTTGATTGTTGGTAATTGCTACATTATACCTATTAGGTGCATATTTTATAACATTTTTTTTTCTCGTATGTGTGAATAATTAAAATGATAATCATATTATTATTATATGATAACAAATATGAAATAGATTATAGTTTTGAATTAGATTTAGTGGCGTAATATTAATATATCATACATAATATTTATTTTTTAATGCAAAATTGGCATCATATCATGTATTAAATTTTATACATTTCAATAACGAATGGCACACCTTGTCCGATGGTCAGTGGTGAAACTATAAAGGTACAATATATACGGGAAGTTGAATATTATATGATGTGAGTCGTCGGGGACCCCGGTAGGTATTAGATAAGCCATAACCGCATTAGACTACGGTCTTAAAAAGGCCGGTGCTCTATATAAGGCGATTTTGATTCATCGTTTTCCGTAAGACCGTAAAAGGCGTTATCGTTCGGCTTATTCCGTCGCTTATTTATTTGTACAAAATAGTTCAAAGCATACAATATTTATTCTATATTTGCTTGTTTCCCATTTATTTTTGCAGATTTGCGTTGTTGATATTTTATAATATTATTCAACAGCGTCTTGCGGTACTCCCGTATTTCTCTAAAGACCATCGACTCCTCGCTGTTCACCGCTGTAATATTGCATAAATTGAAAAATATCAAACGCTCTTATTACAGTAGTTATTAGCGCCATAACAAAGGCATCGTCGAATCTAGATGGTTTCTGTTGTTACTCAGTAATTGAAAATATTCAGTACCAAGTATTATAAAGCAATAATGACTCTAAAGGCCTCAAAAGTTATTTATACGGTACATATTCCATTTAAATCTTCGATAAAATAATTTGTCGATGAAGACTTAAGCGCGATTGTGAAAATGGTATCATCACTAGTTTACAAGATTAGGAAAGATTGCAACATTTTTAGCACTTTTTTTTTCTCGATTATGATGTAATGTCAACGACCAATTATTAGTTGTTACCGGTCGGAGTTCCGGATGCATAACACCTGTTACTCGTATAGACGAGTCATAATCGTAAATAGTACATTGGCCAATGATAAATAGTCGAAACAAATTTTATTGAGCTAATATTTTGAATTTCCAACTATAAAATTTTATTTCCATTTATAAATTAATTAAAAATTAATAAAGTCACCAACAGAGAATAAAAAAAATATCCTAAGAATTCAAATAAATGCAAAATAAAAGTTTAAGTTTTAAATTCTCTGATGTATGAAACGAATTTTATACTTGAAAAGCATTGTTAGGGACTTCTCAAAAACACGGTGCATTTTGAATTCGAATCCGTTCCATGAGTATATGATACTTATTACATGTGGTTTTGCACTCAATGGAAAACATCGATGAGTCGTTAATACTGTTTTACCGTCCTTTCTATAAGACTCAACTGATATCATCATTTTCTTACCTTTTCTCGTGTCAACCGACTGTAAGAGCCAAATCAAATCATTTTAACAAGACAATTCGCTATTACTATTTATTTATTATTTACTACGGTATCTTACAGGACTTTTTTAAGGGGAGGAGCAGACATACAATACATTTTTAAACGACAATCGGGCAGAAATCATCACTTTGCGACGAACATGATTAGCGTTCCCAAATTGAGTTGGATTGTCATCGAACCAATGATTTTGTTTTAATAAACTCGGTTTTTCGTGATTTTCACGTATTCAAATAATTTTTTTAAGAACTGGGAATTCTTCACCCGCTATATATTTTTCCTACCCCAAAAGTACAAACTCGATCCACTTTATACTACCATTCCTATCCGGCTCGAAGATCAGAGATATTTTTTTACTATAAAAATGTTAAATATTTAAAATATCACACCCACGTCATTGTAAGACCCAATAGCTCCGCTCAGGATCTAAAATGTATTCCCTTCCAGACAACACATTATACTTTTAAACTCGGGCGGACGTATATATTATTATTTCACGCTGTTTATCGTTTTCAGAATAATATTATTTAATTATCAAATGATTATGTCGTACTGTAACAATGCCAGCGGTGCAGTCACCAGTAATATGTATGGACGGTCGATGACAATTAACATTTAAACGGACAATTATTTATACCGAAAACGTAATATTGTTTTACGGTCACGTCGACGGAGCGGTGGGAGACGGACGAACGAGCGAGGAGACTGTAGCGATGGAGCGATGCGGATTGAGCGAGAAAGACCGAGCGAGCAACACCACAGGGTGGGGTGAATGGAACAGCCGTCGTCCTCGGCGTACGGTCGAGAGCGCGCGCGCGCCAGTACACGTTGTTCCGGTTTCGGGTGCGTTCGCTGTGTGTACCTCCTGCCTGACCAGACGGCAACGACATAATATTGTTTGAAAAAATAACTCTCAAACCATAGACAAATACGCCTAGCGGCACGGGCTGTCTCTCTCCCTCTGTCTCTCTTACTGTCTCCCTCGCCCGATTTGCTGTCACAACATTAAACAATCACAATAGCACAGTCGCATACACAAGTGACGGCGACGACTATGCGATCGCTGCACGCCGTCCCGGCGCACCCACAGCAGAAGCTCGTCCCGTCGTGACCACGCGCGCGCGTACATAAAGTAATAGGCCTTCGCCGACACAACACGCCGCCGCCGCCCCGAGGGTTGATCGCCGCCGCAGAAAACCGGGAAAACCCGCAGTCACCGTCCCAGATGCGTCCCGCCGCGGTGTCACTCGGCCGACGGCCGTCGGTCCGGTCGCCGGCCACCGCCCTGCTGCTGCTGGCCGCCGCGCTGCTCCCGAACGCCGTCCTGTCCGTTGAGTCGTCCACCGATTCGAAACGTGAGTACCTACCTATTTCCGGCTTTATACGACGATAATGAGTTTTTACGAGTCTGCTCGCCAAGCTTTTTACGAGTGAAATTCAAAGTGAAAACGTGAAATTTAACTCGAAATATGGAGAAAAAAAAATGTATTCTATTTTTCGAACACGGTGGTCTCCCACTTGCATTCAAGGGAATACCTATTAATTATATTGTTACTGCTAAAATCATATTTTTGTTAGGAAATTGATTAATTTTTAATGTGCAAGTACCTACCTACCTACCTACGGTTTGCAATTAAATTTATATCCGATTCAAAGTTATTGGATTTCTAAGTACCTATGATGACTGTGCGTGTATGAAGATGAATAATTGATGAAATTTAAGTTAACAGTTTATGGATGACAAATATAATAAGCATTTAAATTTAAAAAAAAAACCTTGTTGAGAGTATAGTTATATTAATTATAAAATACAAAATTAAATAAAAATGTGACGCAAAGTGTTTGTATAAAAAATTGGAACTACACACATGTACCTACACGCAGTTACGAGTATGAATTTTTTAATACAAATTCCGTGACATTATAATTACGCGACCCGACGACTGATAAACATTAAAATAATTTCATTATAGAACTTGTAAAAACTATAATATTATACGCCCCCACAAAAAAAAAAACACTTTATTTTAATATTTTAAAACATGTTTTATTACACATTATATTATATCATGCACATTCGTCCCGGCGACCAAGCGGTTTTTCAACGGCAATTTACGTGATAATATTTTATTTATTATACCTCAACAATAAACGTATACGTTATAATATGGTAAACAATTTTATTTTTTACCATCGTTAATGTCACCGTTCACATGCCGTCGGCTCGGCGTCCGCAGACTGTGTACACTAATATTATTATTATTTATATAATCTGCTGGCTATATTCTAACGATTTTTTCCCCGTTGCCCAAAGCGGGCTGTTACTCGTGTGGTACCTACGTCTGATTATAATGTTATGGTTTGTGGCCTTTTATGGACGGATTAGAGGCGATTTAAGACCGACGACAATTTTTCGATATTCTTTACGCAGGTATAATGTTATTATTTTTATACAATATTTTAATGCCGTAGAATTACGATATTAATACGAGAAGTGTCGGAATTGAAAAAAATATGAATCTATGATGATATTAGATTATTATTTATTCACAAGTCCGTGAACTGCACGTCTGATACCCCGCGCTCTCGTGGGCCGATTATAACAATTTAATATTGGTAGGTATATTTAGGATTTTTTTGGCGGTACACTAGTTCCGCGAGACTGCAGCCCTCCCCGAAATGTAGGGAAAATTAAAAAATGCTTTCATCGTTCTGTAAATGTATTACACAACGCTAATGTAACCATCTGTACGGTTGTAAAATTAAAAAATTGCTTAAAATTGTAGTTGCTATGAAGGTTGCTGAGAAAGTCTAAAATATTATGTACCCACCTACGGCATCAGCATACTAAACTTATGAGTAAGGCTATGAATTTAATGAACTATTAATCATGTAAATTTCACTAAAAAATCAATACCTATTTAAAAAGTATAAAATACGCTAAATCTTGTTAAAATAAATGCGTGTAAAAAGTTTCGACTGACTGAAATTATTAAAAATATAAAAATAAAAAAATAACCTTAAAAGGTGAAAACAAAAAAAAATCAAGCAATGTCGCATAATGAAAATTAAAAATTCAACATTTATTACGTCAGTGATTTAATTCAAACTAAACCTAACTACCCAGTTTACGAGGGATACTTGCTAAGTCTCACCTGTGTGAAAGAACTGACAGCTCCCCCACCCCACAGCCCAACCAAGATAATGGTTAATCGACTACGGTGCCAACACCTAGATATTATATCGGAGATGTCAAAATAATATATTAAACATCTATATATTTTATAGCCCACGATAATGACGGCGTTGTTTTCGGTACCAAACGAATCAAATTTTGAGTTAGTCTTTCTGTGCCAAAACCATTGTTAACCGCGAAACGAGTCGAAAAACTTGTCGTAAAATATCCTTAATATATTAAGCTAGCTTCATAATAGTAAACTATCGTGTGTCGTACAATAATGATCGACTTCCATGTCGCGGAAAGGCCAAGACGTGTAAACAATAAAACAATAATATTTATAGGCAAATTTTACGACAATATTATGTTTCCGTTATTATTGTAATAAGCGTCGGAGATGCAAATAATGACTGGCCATAAAACAAAAAAAAAAAAAAAATATTGTCGCGGGTCGTAATGGCGATTGGACACGAAAGCTATAAATCAGTAACATTACCTACACGAGTCCGATCCGTGTGTCTCCGTTTTGGACACGGTCGTTGTTATTATAATATTACATGGAAGCGTTGATAAGATTTAATAAAACGAAAAAAGTGTGTCAACACCGTCGTGGGCGGTACCCCTTTCCGCCAAAAGTGTATGTTTTCCTTTTCCATCGATACAGCTCATTGCCGGCCAAACAATCTCATCTATATTGGTAGGTTCTGTTAAAAGCTGTAACTTGTAAGTGCTCTTACTTAAAAGACTATAATAATGTGTACCTGTATAATATCGAACAACAGTGTATTATAAATTATAATTATATAATTATTGTGTTGTACATATAATTGAGCAACAACGATAACTTTGAACCGGTACGGTACTCTGTACTAAAGTCGTGAGTTCGTCGAGTACAACATAATATGGAAAATAAAAAATTTTAAAAAGTAAATATTAGTTTAAAAAAAAAAAAATATAACCATAATAATTATACTACATTCATTTTTATTATAAATATAGGTATATATCAACAGGTACATACCCGATAAATTCACGACTTTGATGCCGGCAACAGCTGAGCACATTGCTATAAAAATAATTTTATTAAAATGCATATAATATTATTCTGTTTTTCCACTGCTTTCAATAGTAGGTATCTACTTACTTATAGAAATCGGTTCGTTGAAAATGTGGTCATTATCTCACATGACGGAATAATACCTTTAAATACGTCTAAATGTACCTAGGTATAGCAAAGGCGATGTTGTGGTCGAACGAAAGTAAGGCAATAAAGGCGGACGCGTTTCCGTTATAGAAGAGCTTTTTTCTCACAAAAGTATGTGCCTTTTCGTTTTCCACAATACTCTTTTCCGTGACCACTTTTGGCGGAAAAAAGGCCAAATACGGGTACTTTTGGTGGAAACGTGTTCTTCTCTCCATCGTTGGCCATTACTGCAGCATTCGTTCGACCACAACATGCCACCTTTGTCATATACTTTGGAACATTTAAACATATTTCAAGGTTCTACAGAACCTATAAATTATAATAATATCATGTCACCGCTTGATCCGAGTTCAGAATTTTCTGGTTATTAGTCTCATTAAAATATTATAATATATTGCTTAGGCAAAACGATTTCACTATAGCCATTATAATAATAACCACCTTTAATAACTGTACGGTATCTAATCGTATATTTTGGTATGATAAAGGTATGTGTTATGGTAAGATTAGGTTAACCACACGGCTTACGCGGAAAAAAGGCGCAGACAGGATAATAAAAAAGTTGTACCCATACCTATACCATGGTATTTCGGTATATTACAGTAATAATATGATTGTTATGCTCAGAGTTGCTGCAGTGCAAAAAAATAATACGTGTTATAGTTCGGCCCCTATTCCACGTCATGAACACGTTGGGCAATATAATCCTTCATCCGAAACCGAGGAATAATCATATTAGATATTATTTTTGTTATAATCACACTGCAGTGGTTTCACTAATGATTTTATCCAATTACGATGCAAATATATAATAATAAAATAATAATTATATAACGTCGACGTAAAAAAAAAAAAACACAGAAAACGGTGCTATAAGTTGTTCGTGTTCATGTGGCGAATATTATTATTGAGCATCTCCATCGCGTTTGTATTATAATGACGTTATAAGGCTGAGAAAAGTAATTATGATGCATAAACTAATTAATGCCACGTAAAATGCATTTGAAATTCCAAACAGCTCACAATAAACGCGTTAACCGAAGCAACAAAAATTGAATTCCCATTTAAACTGTCGTTTGCACAAAGTTCATCAAAGACGGACTATATATTATAGGTGGCTATACAAGTTTATAATAACTATGCAAATCAAAGAAACAATATTTTTTTTTAATATTAAAAAGAATAAGCTAAACACAATGCACCATTACAGCACCCACTACACATGTATTAAAAAAAAACCTCGTCGAAAATAATCGTAACGATGATCTGTGCATTAATATTAGAGCAGCTAGTATACTTACATATTTTATACTTAACCGAGTATATTGTATTTTAAATAATATACGGAGATAGACATGTGGGATATGCTACGATCAGCAAAAAGAAATTATCTACCAAATAACTTATCATAGGAATTGAAGAAAAAATAATAATTCAATTAGAAATTAAAATATACATATATATATGCACCACGGTAAATTAGGTTGGAATATTGTATACTAAAAAAAGCCTGTTATATGCGTACCACAACGATGAAAAAAATGCGTTTATCTCACACATTTAAAGCTCTTGTAAAGACGTACATTATATTTTATAATGGTATAACACTCTAAACTATAATAGTACCTATAATGCGTATTATTAGTGGCGTACTTCCGAAGGTTTTCGTAGATTTGTGAGTAGCAATTTTTTCTGAAACGCATTTTCTTTTTGGTCAGTTAATGTCGGATGATTTCTAGATTTAACCCTCCCCCCCACCCAAATTTCGTGGCCGAGTACACTACTACAGACTAATATGCTATAAATCGAACATTTTGATATTATGCCTAGTCCTCTACAATATTGCCATCTACATCTGAAACTGTGGTACACTGGTACTTGTAGCACCACCGGTGGTACGCGAAAGGCCCCGTCGGGCCACATATTTTCTCTGTGACGTGTTTGCAATGGATTTAATATTATTTTGTATTTGG